ACATTTTTCTAAGGTTGTTTTTCTTTGGAAACGTGCCTGGACTTAAACTGTAGAACCTCTCCCTCTGTAGTGTGACGCTGGTGTGTCTGCTCAGTTTGTTGTTTTTTTTTTTTAATATTTATTTTTGAGAGACAGAGAGAGACAGCATAGGCAGGGGAGGGGCAGAGAGAGAGAGAGAGAGGGAGACACAGAACATGAAGCAGGCTCCAGGCTCTGGGCTGTCAGCACAGAGCCCGACGCGGGGCTCGAACTCATGGACTTCGAGATCATGACCTGAGCTGAAGTCGGATGCTTAACCTACTGAGCCACCCAGGTGCCCCAATGTTTTTTTTAATCCTTATTTTTATTTATGTCTAGAGGTCACTGGTGTGTCTTCCTAATGTAGTAGTCAGCCAATGTTTTTAGGCAGAGGTTGTACCCAAATATTTTAAGCCTGTGAGAATCCTGTCCTCTGCTGATCGATGTGTTTGTGGGTTGGGAACCCTTTCAAGCCTCCATTGGCTTTCGCTCTTCCCTGGCCTCTCCTGGGTCTCTCCCATTCATGCATAGCTCCCCAGTTCACCAAGGATGTGTGGAGAGTGTAGGTCAGCTTTTCTATGGTTCTCTCACTTTGGGGCCCTTTCTGTCCTATTTTCTGGCTGGTCTGCGGCTTACCTCACCTTGGACCGGAAGCTTGGGTTGGTAAGGCTGCAGGTGTTTGTCATTCATTTCCCAACTGAACCCACCACTTTTAGCCAGCAAAAGTAAAAACCTAGATTTTAGGGTTTTGCAGCCAGTCCCACATTGGTAAGGCCACCATTTTTGCCAACTGAGCTGGGAGGGTGAACGGCTGGGAGCAGCCTCCAGCAGTTTTTTTTTTTTTTTATTATTGTTTTTTTTCAACGTTTATTTATTTTTGGGACAGAGAGAGACAGAGCATGAACGGGGGAGGAGCAGAGAGAGAGGGAGACACAGAATCAGAAACAGGCTCCAGGCTCTGAGCCATCAGCCCAGAGCCTGACGCGGGGCTCGAACTCACGGACCGCGAGATCGTGACCTGGCTGAAGTCGGACGCTTAACCGACTGCGCCACCCAGGCGCCCCTCCAGCAGTTTTAAAAAAAATGATGCCTCTCATTTTATTGTCTGCCTTTGGTGGATTTCCAGCACCCTGACGCGGTTGTTATTGACCATTTTCCCTAATACACACGCACACGCATGCACGCGCATATTTGGTTGGTTGGTTGGTTGGTTGGTTGGTTGGTCGGTTGTTTTTACAGAGAGGAATTGACTACCTCTTTATATAGGACTGTGCTCACCTTCTTCTCATTCTTTACTATCTTTTCAGGTGAAGAAAGTGAGTCTCAAAGAATGAAGCGATTTGCCCTAGGTCACGCAGCTGTGACGTAGGGGAGCTAGAATTACACTGTGGGGCTCTATTTGTAAATTAAAAAAGGCACTTTTATTTATTTATTATTTATTTATTTTTTTTTGAACGTTTATTTATTTTTGGGACAGAGAGAGACAGAGCATGAACAGGGGAGGGGCAGAGAGAGAGGGAGACACAGAATCGGAAACAGGCTCCAGGCTCTGAGCCATCAGCCCAGAGCCTGACGCGGGGCTCGAACTCCCGGACCGCGAGATCGTGACCTGGCTGAAGTCGGACGCTTAACCGACTGCGCCACCCAGGCGCCCCAAAAAAAGGCACTTTTAAGAAGTATGGCTGACATACAATAATTTATACTCATTTAAACCATACACCCTGACAGGTTTTGACATATGCGTATGCACATTAACGCCATCAAGATAGTGAACATCTCATTGTATGTTTCTTTATACTCTTTCTTCCCTTCCCACATCTCTAGGCAACCACTGATTTACTTTCACTCTAGTTTGCATTTCCTAGAATTGCATGTTGGTGCAACCACACAGAATATACTTTCTTTTGTCTATCTTTTTTCACTCAGCATAATTTATCCATATATATCAGCAGTTTGTTTCTTCTTATTGTGAAATAGTATTCCATCGTATGGACAGGCGAGGGTTCGGCTATTTTTCTGTTGATGGATGTTTGTATTATGTCCAGGTTTGGGTTATTACAAATAAATCTGCAGACATTTGTGTACAAGTCTTCGTGCACACACATAGATGTGTGCTTTCATTGCTCTTGGGTTATATTTAGGAGTGGTATAGCTGGGTCATACGGAAGGTGAACGTTCAACATTTAAAATAAGTTTTAATTTGGAATAATTTTAGATTTACTGACGTTTCAAAGATAGCACAGACAGTTTAGTTTCCGTTATTATTAGCATCTTACATCCCTATCATGCATTTGTCAAAGTGAAGAAACGGACACTGATACGTGACTATTAATTAACCTCCAGACTTTTTCACATTTCAGCCCTTTTCCCAGTTACACTATCTTTCTCTTTCAGGATCCAGTTCAGGGCACCACATTGCATCTAGTCAAGTCTCCCCAGTCTCTTCTGGTCTGTTACAGTCTCTAAGCGGTTCCCTTCTCTTCATGACCTTGGCAGTCTGGAAAAATAGTGGCCAGTTATCCTGTGGAATGGGATAGCAAGTCCTTCCATCTGGATTTCTGACGTTTCCTCCTCATGATAGAACTGGGTGTATGAGCTTTGGGAACAACCACCGCAGAAGTGAGGTGCCCTTCTCATCATATCCGGGGTATGTAACATTCACACATCTCTGGTGATGGTCACTATCACTTGGTTAAGGTGGTGTTTACAAGGTTTCTCCCCACTTTCAAAGGGATTTAGTTCTCCCTCCCGTAGCAAGGAGTAGCTACATATATTATTTGGAATTCTAATGTAAGGAAGACATGTATCTTCTCTCGTTTCTTTATTCAGTCATTTATTTATAGCAGTATAGAGTCATGTATATTTATCTCGCACTTGGGTTATAAAAACTACTGCAAGTATTTATTTATTTTGTTTCTCCATTTGCTCCAGTTTTGGCCACTGGAGTCTCTTTTAGGCTACTCCTGTGTCTTTTGTTCCTGCTGCCATGTCCACATGCTCAATTTCTGGTACTACAAGATGCCGAAAATACATCTACAGTCTCCGCGCCCAACCCCCAGAATCTGTTATTTCTTCAAGGAGAATGGTGTTTGGAAACTAAGATCTGGGACCTAGCATGCTCATTATTGCCGGGGTGTCACTGCTTCTGGGCCTCTTGGGGGACTGAGGTATGTGAGGTATGTCAAAACTGACATAGTACGTATTTTACTATAAATACTAAGCTAACCATGAGTTCACTGTGGTGTCTCTGACCCCAATCCAGTACCAGAGGGATCATTCAAGCCTTCTCCGGTGCTTATCTCTTACCCCATCCAACAGAGAGAACCCTGGCTCCCACTATCCGCCAACCGACGACTAATGCACTCAACCCCAGTGCGCGTGTATGCAGTTCCCCGCCTTGGGAAAGAAAGGTATCACCCAGAGTACAGTGTTGACGGGCAGCTGCTGTTGTGTTTAGCATTGTGGTTTCCAGTTAAAACGTGGTTTCCCAAAGTTACTTAGATCAGCTCCTTTCCCCCCATCTGGGGAGTCTGTTTTTTAATGGATGGAAGTCATGAAGACCATCAGCTGGTTACAAGGAGGAGACTGTGGAGTTATTTCCTTTCAAAGACCATAGACAGACTTAAATTAACCGTGGAAATTCCTGACCAGGATTCAAGAAAGAAAAAATAGAAAAAAGAAAACTTAGCCCTTCTCTCTTTTCTCTCCCTGTGAAAGTAACAGCCCCTCCTAAGTGATACAGTGGGTCCAGTGCTTGCTAAGACAGGACCGAGGCCTTCTTACGTTTTCACCGAGCTTATGCTGTTATGCCCAGAATTCGTGATCCCCAAAGACCACTAGGGAGCCGAGTCCGATGCAAAAGCAAAGAGCCTTTATTCGAGCTAGCTCGAGCTCAATCCCCTACCTGCACCGACGCAGCGGTGAGATACCAGGGAAAGAGAGCGAGTTTCAAAAGGACAAAGGTTTTATTGGGGCCTGGGGGCAGTTGGTGAGGTAATGGCTATGGCCTCAGCCGATTGGCTGGGGAAGGGTCCTGGGGAAGGGTCCGAGTCCTGTTAGGCAGGTGAGGGGGGGTTACTCAAGGGGAGGAGGTGTGGTCAAGGTGAAGGACACAGAACAA